ACCCCTGGGGCCATGAAAGCAACACTTCATCCTCACAGAAAATGCTGTCACGTTGCTTCCTGAGTCTCACACAAGCCCTGAGATGTTGGTAGAGGATGGTGATCATTTCTACTTTGCAGAACAGAAAAATGAGTCTCAGAAACTCGAAGTGATTGGCAAAGATCACACCCAAAGTGAGGAAAGAATCTCAGGGGGAGTCTGATCATTCCTTTCAATTTCTGAATGCATGTTTCATCCGAAACAAATGAATGTTGATGTTAGCTTATTAATTTGACAACTCACGTGTCCCTCCCATTTACCACTATGCCAAACTTTCAAGTCTCTCTTTTGAAGGCCAAAGAAAGTTCTGCTAGAATCCACTGACTGGTTATTACTGATAATTAGAAAGTCTTTTATGTTTAGTACAACAACATAAAAGGGTTTTAAACTGGACAATTATAGGGTGAAGAATTCTTTTTCAGCCATAAGCATATTACACGAGGTGGGAAGGAGGGGAGGGGAGGGGAGAAGACAAGGGCTGGTGTTTCTCATGTGATAATGACATAAGGCATGCAAAGGATTAGGTCCGTGTCATTGAAACAGTTGACCATGAAGGTTAAGTCTCAGCCAAGTTCAGTGTTGTGGGGCATAACAGGGTTGAAAGAGGCACTTCTGCAACCTGTGAATGCACCATTCCATTCTTGAGGTCCCCCTGCAGAACCGGAATCGTGTTCAAAGGCTAACAGAGTGCAAAAAGCAGTAAATAATGGATGCGGTAATGGGCTGCTTAGCAGACATCTTCCCCCCCACTCAGGAATGTGCATTCCTGACAGCCCCAACGAGGCCAGGATGTTTGTCTAAAGAACATGAGCAGCATTATCAGCTGGCTGAAAGGAAGACTACCTTCATGTCCCCTGTTTCTTCGAGAAGGAAAATGATGATAAAGTCATCAGTTCTGAGCGCTGCTAAGTAGAGGCAGTGAAAACTCAGGAGCCCAAAGGACCTCAATGATATGCCCAGAAGGTACTTTGCCTGCCCATGTCTTGTTCATCCTTCAAGGCTCTGCCCAAGGGATACCGCCTTCCTCTCTGTCTAGCTAGCCAACTAACATTCCCTATCAGCCAGCATCTGTGCTACTGGAATTCAAAGACCTCAGCATAAAAATAAAGGCTGCATGCAAATCTTCCAGCTGCCTTGACTAGGAAGCGAAGAAATGTGTATTTTCGGGAGTGAGTGGGATTAATCCTTCTCTTGGTTCCGAGTTCTAGAAAGGGTGGAGGGGAGGGTAGCATGACCCTAAGAGCAAATCTGCTAGAAGAAGGGAACATTATAGGTCTGGATTAAAACAACCCAACAAAAGCATCCTAATATGTTATTTATAAAAGGGAACAAGAAAGGTACAAGTACAGTTTAGCACCCCAAGGTTATTGGGCCTCGTGGGGTGAGCTAGCGCACGGGTGCATGAAGGTGGGGGAGAGTGAAGGCCTGGTGGGGTGAGCTAGCGCATGGGTGCATGAAGGTGGGGGAGAGTGAAGGCCTGGTGGGGTGAGCTAGCGCATGGGTGCATGAAGGTGGGGGAGAGTGAAGGCCTGGTGGGGTGAGCTAGCGCATGGGTGCATGAAGGTGGGGGAGAGTGAAGAGAGGGAATCGGCTTTCTCTCTGGACCTGCAGCCCAGCTCAAGACAAAACTGTGCTCCCATAAGCTGAAGCACTGAGGTGGGTAAGACCCATAAGAAATGCAGTGGATTCTAACTTCTGTGCCAAACTCTAGAATCCAATACACCAAAAGGACACCTCAGTGAGAATATCTCTGGTGATAATGAGCCAGGGACTGAGCTCTACGACAGAGGTTTTGGGGCTGCAATCAAGGATCCTATTGGCTTCAAGGCCCGCAAAAATTTACATGGGCACATGTGTAGGTTTTTTTGTTTTGTTTTGTTTTTTCATGGGGAAAGAGTATACCATCAAAAGCTCAAAGAGATCCCAAGTTCCCAGAGGAGTTACTCTAGAGAGTAATGATTAAAAGTGATTCCTGTCCTCAAGGAGCTCACAGAAAAGTAGGAGAAACAAATAGAATAGAACAGCTCATGCTGTTGAATCCCTACTCTGCACCAAGCTCTGTGCTGATTCACATCCTTCAGCTCATTTAGTCCTTAACACAAACACTCTATGGCAGGTATTGTCCGTCATTAACCCCAAAGCCAAGGCCTTTAAGAAAATCAAAGTCATCAAAAGGAATGAAATCTTGCCATTTGCAATGACATGGATGGCACTGGAGGGTATTATGCTGAGCGAAATAAGTCAATCAAAGAAAGACACGTATCCTATGACCTCACTGATATGAGGAATTCTTAATCTCAGGAAACAAACAGGGTTGCTGGAGTGGTGGGGGGGTGGGAGGGATGGGGTGGCTGGGTGATAGACATTGGGGAGGGTATGTGCTATGGTGAGTGCTGTGAATTGTGCAAGACTGTTGAATCACAGACCTGTACCTCTGAAATAATAATACACTATATGTTAAAAAAAAAAAAAAAAGAAAAAGAAGATAGCAGGAGGGGAAGAATGAAGGGGAGTAAGTCGGAGGGGGAGACGAACCATGAGAGACGATGGACTCTGAAAAACAAACTGAGGGTTCTAGAGGGGAGGAGCGTGGGGGGATGGGTTAGCCTGGTGATGGGTATTAAAGAGGGCACGTACTGCATGGAGCACTGGGTGTTATGCACAAACAATGAATCATGGAACACTACATCAAAAACTGATGATGTAATGTATGGTGATTAACATAACATAATAAAACTAAAAAAAAAAGAAAATCAAAGTCAAGGGCTCACATGGATTCATTAAGAAAAAGTAACAATGCATTGTTATCACTGCAAAGAGGGCACATGGTCTCCAGGGGCGGGGTGGGGGAGGATTACTTTGGGGTAAAGAAGGCTTCCTAGAGGAGGTGTGCAATTACCTAGCATACTTGCAATCCCCTGCTCGGTGAGAACTGTTTGCTGGTGTGTTGCTTGTAATGGCAACACACAGAAATGTCCTCATTTAATCTAATCCCTATGCTCTGTTAAGGGTTTTACATAAATGTCTCCTTTAGCCCTCCAAACAAAGCTACAAGGCAGGCATTATTTTCTCTTTAAGATGATGACACTGAGGTTTAGAGATGAAAAAAGATACTCAAGGACCCTCAGTAGGTGGCCAGGATGAGAGCATACCCAGGTCTGATGCTGAAGATCAGGCCATTTCTTCTGGGGCTGATTTGTGGTTTTCCCCAGTGACTGCCCCACGCCAAGTCACTTACTGGGCTCTGGGCAGACCTGGACCCAAGGAAGAAAAAACCCAGGAGTATCTAGTGCAACAGACCACAGTGCAGTCTCCCTTCTGGTGGGAAACCTGTGGAAGGCCCCAAGCGGCCTGGAAGCTGCTTAGTATGCACTAATTTGGTTGTCTTTGGTTTACTTGTCTTTCTAGCTAAGGAGCAGGTGGTGAAGGAGCAAACAGCAGGATCACAGCAGGGATTTTCAGAGCACGGAGGAATCCTAGGGAATATGCACTCATCAGAGAGGCAGGTCTATAGGGGCAAGCCTGGAGGACAGGAAGATCCCAGAACAGTGAGGGATGTGGGATATTTAAAGTACCTCTGGGAGGTTTAGGCAAGTGGGATCAAGTTTCCAATGCATATGCTATCTTCTCCTCAAAACCATTTAGTAAAGTTGGGTCCAGTTCCTCTTTTTGGTGGATGAGAACAGCGAGGCACAGAGAAATAAGGGAACTTAGGGGAAGTCCCACAGGTTGTTAAGAGCAGGAGTTGAGATTCCAAATGCAAGCATCTGCCTCTCTCTCCCTTAGAGCTGGTGCTTTTGACTTGCGACCTCTCTTTGGCTTTTTAAAAATGTTGAAACTGTTCACGGAAAAGCCAGCCTCAGCCCAGATGCTTCTAGGACTCTGGAAACAGACGGCTGGGAGCTCCTGCAGGCCAAGAGTTTAGGCAGCCCAGATAGTTCCCAAGCAAAACTTTAGCACATTTACTTAATGTCAGAAAAACAGAGCATTCCCTTTAAAAGAAAGTACCAGGGATTTTCATCAATTCCTTCTACAGGGCAGAGTCATTTGCATGTTTATGAAACCCTCCTAGTATGGCTGTATCATGCCTGGCTTCCACATGCCAGGCCCTGGGCTTGCTTCTGGTAGTTCAGGAACCTGAGGAAGCTCCTAGAAGTAATGGGCAAAGAGAAGAGTTTCAACACTGTGTCCTAAGTGCTGTGAAAATAGAGGAATGATAAGGAGTGGAGCACAGAGGGAGGGGTGAGACCAGAAAGTCTCCCTGAGCCCCCAGAGCCTGAAGCTAAGCTGGGATGTCAGGGGAGGACAAGGCTCCTTCAGGAGGCTGCAGAGTTCAGTAGAGCCAGACCAGCGGGAGGTAGACCAGAGTACGGGCTGAGGCTGGCATCTGGGTGTTGTGTATGTCAGGCTAAGGAGCTTGGATTTCTTTTTTTTTTCTTTTTGAGCTATTAAGCATGGAGACGGTATGGCCAGACTGGTTAATAAATTCACAAAAACCAAGGCGGCAAATGGAGCAGCATGCTTCCTCACGTATCTAAACCTGTTGGGGGCAAGTGAGGCAATTTAGGCACAAATTGAATTGTAGGGAGCTGTGCGATGGGAGCTGAAGCAAACGAAAATACGGAGAACAGACCAGTGTCTCGGTGACAAGGAGGCTTGACAAATGCAAAGGCCTCAGGGAGAAAAAGCGCTTTTTCTCCAAGGGTACCGTGGTGCATGTTCTCTACTACATTGTAGACTCAAGTTTTGGAGAAGGGCCCTGCATTCGGATATGCTTTTCCATGAAATCTAACGCACACTGGCTTCTGGAAGCAGTATTTAGGTGGGGTATGGCAGTTGCAACATAGTTCTACCAGTTGTGACACTTATATCCAGAAGAGGGGTTCCTTTCCTCAGGTGGTAGCCAGTTTCATATGAATGGGGGTTACAGGAACCTGGCAGAAGAAAGAAGGTATACTTACACTTACAGGTTGACTTTTTGGCACATCATAAACACCTTCCTTCTTTTGGCTGGTGGGAACCTGTGGAAAAACCAAATTCGACACAGTCAAAACACTTTGCTATTCCACTTTCAAAGAACAAAGCAACCCTACTTCAACTCCAGGCTGGCTAAGTGTGGAGGAGAACGGCTCCCGAGGCCTGAGGGTCCCAAATCAAAGGCAGGCCAGGCCCCTTCCCTGGGGACAGCTGGATGAGGGAGGAGTGTGTGAATCGCTTCATTAATGTTTGCAGGGGGTCTCTGCCACTGGGCTCCTCACAGAATCACAGAACAGGAGGCTGCAGAGACGTCTCCTCAGGGGTCACGCGGTGGATAAAAATCATCCTCGTTTCACCAAAGACAGAAATGGGACGCAGAAAGGTGCTCTGACTTGTGCAAAGTGATTAAAATTAGTTTGTGGCTGAGCTTAAGCTGCCTGGTGCACAGACTGAGATCCAGGTTATTTAAAATATAGCAAATATCAAGGTCTCAGCATCAAGAATGGCTTCTGCTGGGATCACAGACAGGCCATGTGATATTCACCAAAAGTTTTTTCCCAAGAAAAGGGGTCATCAATGGCATGAAAGGCATAAGACAAGAATCCGGAAAATCTCAATTGTTTTTTAACATATATCTGTATTTTCTTCCCTCCCTCTCTCCTCTGACTCATCCATCTGGTCTTACTGGGCCACTTGGTAACTGTTACCACCCTGTGCGGGTCACTTAGCTCCTCTGAGCTTCACTGTTAGAATATGGGTGCTATTGGCTCTCCTTCTCGTTTGGGTTATTGTGGGGATCAAAGGAGAAAAAAGATGATAAATAAAAACTATTAGGACCTATAATACTGTAAAGTGTTAGAATGATGGCTTCTTTTACCACTGATACATTATATGAGTTAAGTATAAGAACATATTCTGTAACACTAACAACAGTAGACATGTTGAATACTTTTCTAATGAGTCAATCAAGGGCTTTACACTGAAACCCTCTGGCTTGAAAGCAATCTCTTGTGCTTCCCAACACCCAGCACAGGACAGCTCACACCACCATCGGACGCCTCAGGCTGTAGTGATTTTACAATTGTCTGCTAATCTGTGTTCCTTTTCATCAGACTGGGAGCTCCTCAAGAGCGGACATGGTGCCTGCAGCTCAGTAGGCATTTGGTAAATGTCTTCTGGGTAAATGTATCATCAGAAATGTGGGCAACAGTGAAGAAACAGAAAAAGTGTCTTTTAGGCTTGGACCAGCCAACTCTACCACATGAAGAAGGAGGAATTTCAGCTCATTCCTCGAGTCCCCTTTGCTGTTTCCACTCTCATCAGCTTAACTTCAAATCCTTATAATAATCCTAGGAACTCGGTATTAGAATCTTCACTTTACATAGTAGAAAGTGAGGCTCAGAGATGTTAGGGAAACTCTTCCAAAGCTTCCAAGCTAGTTAAGTGATGAGATTCAAACCCAGCTCTTTCTGGCTACCAGATATGGCACGAACTCACATTGACAGGGTGCTTTCTGTCTGCCAGGCCCTGTTAATGTTTGTGTTTACATGTATTCTCATGTAATCCTTGGGACCAGTCAGTCGGGTAAGGATGACGACTGTGTTGCAGAGGAGGAAAAGGAAGCAGAGGGGGGGTCCTGCCGGTGAGCAGGGCTGCCAGAGTTGGAGTCCTGGCACTTGGCCTTTTACCTACGACACTATACAGACAGTCCCCACAGCTGTTCTCACTGCTTCTTTTTCTTGGACATTCTACACTCTCAGAAGCTTGTACACATTCTTGCAGAAGAGGACTATGAGGGAGCATGGAGATGCAGAAAATGCACTTTCTGAGCTGCTCTTGCACACCTCAGCTCTCAGGTAGCCAATGAAGAAGGTAATTTCTTTGCTCCTGGTAACCAGCTTCCATCTAAAAGAAATCCTCTAAGAATGCCTACCGAGCCCTTGTTAACAAGGGCCAATAAATTACCAACCCACACTTGTATTTTTACTAGCTCACCCTTTCCTGCGCAAAATGAACAGCATTTCTGTTCCCCGTAATTCACGGCTCACTATGGGCACTTAGCAAGTTGAACCGCGGCTGACTCTCAATTATCCCTGCAAATGGAGGAGAAGCGGCAGGATGGATAAACCCAAACTGTGCATAATTGAAAAAGCTTTGCTGCTTGGCTCTCCCATGGGTGAGATATCAATCTGCCTGTTTGTCCTTTAAGATTTATGTCGGCTGGGAAGTCTTCTCGGGAGCCTTGCCTGGCTCTCTACCTGGTTGGAGCCTTCCTCTATACCCTCTGTAACCTCTGGTACAGCCTTCCACTAAAAAATCAAAGTGGCCAAGAACCTATTATGCATCGTGCTCTGTGTTTTGCCCGGGACAATGATGGTGAACAAGCTGGATATGGCCCCCGATGGGATGGAGCTCCTTGTCTTACTGGGGGGAGGTGGGAAAGAAATCGGGCTATTCACATGAGCATAAAATGTGCTTTATCTTATGTGGGACCTGTCAAACCACACTGCAGCTGTAAGCTAGGGCAGGGCAGATATTTCACTAGCCTGTTTCCCCATCGGTAAATACCGGTTACGCAGGCAATGTTTAAGGATCAAACATATACCATGTGTGTGCTAAGGGCTGAACACTGGCAGAAGTGCCTGAGGGATGAAGACCAGAGAGAGCCCGGTCCAGGTTCTCCTCGCTACCTGGCTGGTCCTTCTGCCCGTAGACCATTTCATAACATGACATTGCAGAGCAAGTGAGAACAGTTCTCCACCAAAAGGAAGCAGGGGATCTGGTTCCTGATCCCAGCTCTGCCACAGGCTGTGGGACCTCAGTGCCCCTTTGTCCTCTGAACCTCAGGCTTCTTACCTAGCTGTCGGAGGCATTCAAGGGGGTGCCTAGAAACTCCCGGAGGGTCGGAACCACACCGCGGTCTAGCCCATCTCCATGTGCCTGGCACATGCTAGGTGCACCATCCATAACTGCGTTTTGAATGAAGGAGTTAACAGATGTGGAATTACTGTCAAAGCTATACGTTAACCACTGTATGTACAGAAGACGCTTTCAGCTCAGCAACATCCTAAGAGTGTTAGAGAGGCAGTTTAAGGGTTGAGTGACATAGGAGCAGAGACTTATCATTTTAAAATAACAATACTTGACACATCATGGGTGATTAAAAATGATTTTTGAACCAAGGAACGTGAACAATGCCTGCGTGGAAGGCTGCAGCCTTGCTCGCGCAGGAAGCTTGTTAACGTGCTGCAGAATACCGGTTGAGAAGCCGAGGCTCTGGCCTTGGGCCCAGCCCTTGAATTGGAGGACTTGATTTCCTTATGGTTTTAAAATGATAGTCATCATAGCTATTCTTATCCTCCTGAGTTATTGCAAGGGTCAACGTTAAGTGAGGCGTAAAAACCCTTGTACCGCAAGGCTCTGTGTTGTTTTAAAAAAGATGACAGATAACTTTTTCTGGTGCACGCAAAAAGAAAGACAATTATTATTATTAATCCAGTTTGGAAAATGAGACTACTGATCCTCAAAGAGAGGTTACATTTACTCAAGAGTCTCTCCCTCCCTTACACGGGAGTTATAAATAGCAAAGTCAGGCGAGGTTGCAACTTTCCGCTAGGCTCTCTGACAGGAGGAGGCGAGCAAGTCATGTTCTACTTCACTTAATACATCATCGTAAGACATCTTGAACAGCGTCGGATACTGATGACATTCTTAGGAAGTAAAGGGAACCAACATTTACACAGAACCTACTATGTACCAAGCGCTTTACACCTTCGCATCACTTCTAGAAGCAGATGCCGTAGCATCCCTCATTTTATAGCCCAGGAGATTGAGATACAAAAGTTATGTGCTTCGCCAAAGGCCACAAAACAGCTCAAGGATTAGGCCCCAGGTGCCTGGTCTGTCCCAGTGATAAGGTCTGCCTCGTTCCACAAAATGGAACGGATGAAAATCTGAGACCACCCTGGGCCAAGCCGAAGAATAAGAAACACTGCAATCTACTCAGGAGGAATAGCTATGGGACACTCACTCCTAGGCTCTTAAAACACAAAGAGGAGCCTGGATCCTAATCGCAGCTCCTTAAAAGCCCAGCCTTATCTTCAGGCCCAAGAGCTTATCTCTCCTTAAGCAAATTGAGGCCCAGCTGACTGGCAAAGCAAGAGAGGAGAACAGAGGGTGATAAAATATTCATTTCCTTAAATGGTACCTTCCTGCTAATGATGGACAGACGGGAAGATCCGAAGGTCAGAACTGTTAAAAACAAGTGTGATTTTTAGATTGTGACTTGATACCTACACAGAATCTAATCATGAAACTCTGCATCAGGATACTCTGAGCTGAAAAGAACCTTGGGATTTATTTATTTACTGTGGTCGGAGAGACCTGGCTGTGAGTGAGGGGGCCACATCTTACAGCTCTGTGACCTTGGGCAAGACACCTCATCTGTGTGAGCCTCACTGTTCTGTCTGTAAGGTGGGAATGACGGCTCAAGCCACACAGTCTTGTTGTGAGGGATAAGATATTGCATGTAGACCCCATTCACAGAGCTGGCCCACAGTCAGCACTCGATAAATGTTAAGTAGCTACAGATCACGCGTGCGTGCACCCACACGTGCGTGCATACACGCGCGTGCGCACACACACACCACTTCTAAGAGTCTCGTTTGCCCCGTAAAGCAAGCCCAACATGGTTCTCTAAAGAGTCACTGACCTGTGATGAGGCATGAGTCACAAAAAGCAGCAAAGGGCCCGTCGAGACTCTTCAGTCTTAGCTGCTCATTTTACAGATGAGTACAATGAGGCTCGGAGACAGAAAGGAACTCAACAAGCTGGATGAATGGCTGAGTTGGTACCTGGACTAAGATCCTGAATCCACACACTGTGTGACCCAGGATAGAGTCTCTTCTGTACATCCTTCACACGATCTTGCTTCATTCTCATGCCAAGTGTGAATTATGGAGAAATTACTCCCCTACCTTATCACTGGGAAAAGGGAATCTCAGAGAGGGCAAGTATCTTGCCCACTACCACTCAGCCAAAGTTAGGTGGTGATGCAGCCAGAACCAGAGCCCAGTTCTCTGCCAGCCTAGACCAATTCTTCCTGCACACAGGATGTCCCACACTCCCAGCAGTCCCCCCACAGGGCACATTGGGAGCCCTGCCAACTACCGCTCAGTCGGAATTCAGAAACCTTGTGCTGAAAAGCCTAATTTTGTCTTGAAAGGTGTTTTTTTCTTCAGAGCATGACTGGCTAATGGCTCCTTTGGCCCCATATTGGCCCCCCCATACCACAAGATCATAGTAATTTAAAATCTGACACCGAGAACAAATATGCAAGTTCTCTGTGTAAAGATTGGAAACTTTGTGAGCGATGATTTTAAAGAAAACTTCAGAGCACAACCTCCCACTTGCATCCAATCCAGACAGTTCCAGTGGATAGAAATACTTTGATTATTACTCCATGGGACTGGCTTAAGCCGACTTGTTGGTAGAGCTGATGTGATACTTTGGTCATTCAGAATTCTGTGCATTAGACAGAAATTGAAAATCTGTTTTACTTTTATTATACAAGTAATGCATGCCCAAGGCAGAAAAGCAGACCGCACAACTGAGTAAATTAAGAAAATTAAAATCACTTATTAAATAAATTTTTTCCTTCTTCCATAATGTTTATACTTCAAATTCAGGCTAAAATTCTAATTAGTGAAAAATTGGATGTTGTCATATCTGTTTGATGTGTTGCTATGGTGCAATTTCTCAAACTCTTTGATGGAAAAGCATGGCGGAGGATGTGTGAGTTTTGCTTTCACTCACAATGGGTCTGATCTCAGCTCTAAATAGCTATACAGCCCCCTGGAAGCTACTCAACGTCTCTGAGTCTCAGTTTCCCCTTGTAAAAGCAGGATTAAATACCTACTTCATAGCATGTTTGTCAGAATTACATGAATCACAAAGTGTGTGCAGTCTTCCCATGAGCAGACATTTAAGAATATTAATTTACCTTCCCTTTAGGAGGGTGAAGCCTTGAGCTGTACTTTCTTCTATTCAGTTAATATTCCCAGTGCTGTTTTGCAACAGCGTTTTGAATTTGTCCTTGATTTTCAGGAGTGCAGTTGGCTTTTTAAAGAAATTTGATAAGCACCTTCTTTGGAGAAATAAAGGACCCTTCTGGATTACTTTATCCCAATGGAATGTTTGATTCTTGAGTCCATTGAAAATAGTTAAGATCCATTAACAATTAAAACACCGCACTCAACGGGCGATTGAACATTTCTACAAGGCGTAGAAACTACTGGTCAATCGGTAAAAGCCAACTCAGAGGAAGGTATTTGACCAAGCCTGGATGACCTAGAGCGTGGAGAGACCCTGTGAGGTGCGAGCCCCAGGTTCTGTGGACCTGTCCGCGCAACGGAAGGAGGCAGTGGTGCAATGGAAAGAGAGAGAAGCGATTTTATACCTGATAAATGTTTTCTTCCGTTTCGGGATCACGGATTGGCTCGTGTCCAGCCTCAAACACAATGTACTATTATGGTGCGGCCAGAGAGCAAAGATCAGAGGGGAAGAGAGAGGGAGAAAAAAAGGCATTTGGAATTTAGGATACAAATCACAGTGAGCATTAAAGAAATAGTTGCAGCAGAAAACACCTTCAAGAGACAAGGGGATCACTGAAACACTGCACGTGCCTTGCACACTCCTGCCTTTTCTAAGGAAGACGGTGAGGGTCTGATGGCCGTGAGGGTGTGGGACCCCGCGTATCTTTCTGGAGATGTGGCCTCTTCATGCGATGGCATTTGCTCTCAGTAATGTCTGCATGTGCCACGCTGCTGAGGGCAAATGACATCTCCCGGGAACATCTAGTGGCCCAACTTGGTAATCCGGGTAACAGCGATTGCCCCCCTTTGCTTCCCTCAAGCCCAATGTCCTCACTTGGCCCGGAAGTGTTTACAAACCACAAACCTCCTCATCCCATAGATATCACCTGATTTTACGTTCTGAGTCTTAAATATTGAAAATCAGTTGCTTTTTTTTTTTTCCTGTGCATGTTTCAGACTCTAAAGGACCGGGCCATTTCAAACAGGGCAATATTCTTCATTCTCTGTGAGTCAGTTAGCCAGGGGCCAAGCTCATATTCTAGACAAATCCTCGCCCTCAGCGTTCTAGAGGGAGGGCATGCTGTTAGGCGCATCTTTGGCTTTTGTTAAAAGCCACATAGGCCAGATACTTCTACTTCAAGTTATTCATATTATATTACTTATTTTATCCATATTATTTTATTTTTGTCATAGCTGTACCAGCTTTCTGTGTGGAAACAGGCACTAATAACAATGCATGTATGACACACACACACACACACACACACCCAGGTGTGTCCGGTTAGAAACAGAAGTTTTGGGTTTTATGTCCAACAAGTCCATGTTTTGGCTTTCTCTCCTTGGGAATAAGCACGAGTGGGTTTGGTGTTGGTGGTGGGAGGCCCCCTCTTCCCTCCTCCTCTCTGCATCTGTTTGTACAGAGCACATACTTGGATCCAAGAGAAGTCATCTTTCCGGCCCCACCTGGGCTGCAACCTTGCAGAGAGTTCAGGGAAATCTATGGGCTAGGACGTCTCTAGGGTCTCCTTCACCCTCCTCCCAACAGTGCCCACGGCATGAGCTGGCTCATCAGAGGGGCCAGACATTTGCTCCCACAGCCTTCCCAAAACTTACAAACTGCCCTGCTTGTACTCCAAAGTTGCCAAAACTCAGTCCCCAGCCTCAGTTCCTCACTCAGAGAAGCCTCCTCATGAACTTGGAATATTCAAGAGACTCCCGAAAACATCCAGCTCTGGGATCACACATTTATAGACTGTGGAGGGGGCCGAGGCAGGGGCGAGAAGGGAGAAGCGCATCTCCAGATCTCATGTAATGGATGTCAGCCAAACATCTGTTTTTCATGGAAATGTAGCCCTCACCCTGGGAACTAATCTTCGTCTCTCTCCAGGCTCTGCAGCCAGGGGCTCTTCAGGGGCTCTGACAAAGTGTCTGTAGCAAGGGCCTCGCCATTCCTGACCCTAAAAACCCTGACGGCTTCCAGAAATTACCTGGTATACAGGATCTTCAACATCCTCTTCCAAAATTGTCTACGGCAGAGCGAGAGAAGGGAGGTTGAGAAGCAGAGGATATAAATAAAGGGAGAGGTATGAGACTGTATTTAGAAATTACAGGACAGTAAAGAAACCGGCTCTGGAGAGGAGAGGCTGCTGGGTCATTTCAGGTATCAAAAAACCCACAAAGGAAAAATGAACCACCTTGTAGCCACCCCCACCCCCACCCTTAACAGCAAAAGCAATTGTGTCTCTTCTGTTCTCCTCCCCTGGAAATCTTCCTTGGAATTTAAAATTTCACTTTCTCTAGCATGTCCAGGATTTCAGAGAATAAAAGATCATCTCTAACTGCGAGCTTGCTTTCGGTGCCTGTAATTTACACGGGAACCTTTCATCTTTGTTTATTTCTACTTGGCAGCAGGAAGACAAGCCCTGACTGTCAGTTTTTGCCTCTGTTGATTTTGAGTCCCAGTTCTCTCTGGCCCTCAGAGAAATTCACAGCTATACCTGGTACACAGCTTGTTCGCACTGCTTATCTTTTTGGGCCTTTTTTTCCAACTCTTCTCTTTGCTTCAATTCATAAATAAGCTGAAAGAGATCTCTCAAGTCCAGAATAACAGGTTCAGCCTGGAGTAAAAGGGGGCAGAAAGTGCATTAGTAGGGGAACCGTCCTGAGCCAGAGCAGCCTGTTTCTGTTTTTTGCCAGCTACAACCCACAGCCCTTCCTGTTCCTATGAAACTGAAAGCATTCCATCTTTAATTAATTCTACCTTGTTTATATTGGTTTAGCAAACTGCATCGAGGCTAAAGTTCATTTATTCAACTAATTATATTTGCAAATCCGTAATAATCGTAAGCATAAAAGGCACTGCTTTAATTTATTAGTAATTTTGAATACAATAAAATTAGGGCAGGCCTTATGCAAAACAGCTATTCGTTTTCTCTTATTTTCTTTTTAAATGAAGCTATGAACACAAGGAAACTTATTTGTATAGTGGTGCCTCCAACCAGCTTAATCAGAAAGGAAAATAATTAGTCATTACAAAATACACATTAGAAAAAACAAGGAGACCGGATGGGCCTGAGCCCCCCATTTCCTTGCTCTGGGCTATTTATGCTCTGGAGATGGGCGCCTGAGCGTCAGCATGGTCTTGTCCTGCATTAGAGGCGGGCTTCAAAGACCGACAGCGTGACCGGACGCACTGTCCCGTAAAGGTACTAGGAGAGGCGCCCTCCTGGGACGGGGATACTCACCGCCTGGGCTGTTTTTATGGCAACAAATCTGTGATTCCCTTCCTTCCCACAAACGTATCCAAAGGCCCGGTGATCTGTGATGTCCTTTGCAATGTAGGAAATTTCGTGAACAGCATGATGATGCTGAAGGGCCTAGTGGAGACAAAAGGAAGAGCGTATTTCACGGGACTTTCCCTTCGAGCTGTTGATCAATAGGAGATGTGTTTCAGCTACGTGTGAACAGGCCCGAAGGGCTTTGGAAAAAGCTGTTGGGTCCAGGTGGAAAGAAAAAGAGCCGCGCCTGCCCTTGAGAGATGGGGACTTCCCTCCATGGTCTTAGTGCTGTGACCGGAGAGAAAAACAGGACTGCTCATATGCTGAAGGCGAATCTGTGGCAGTGGCTTCCCTCAGCTTGCCAGGGCCAGTCAGGATAATTCAGTGGGGCAGGCTCCTGTTGTAGCTCGCTTCAGGACACGGCCCAGGCAAAGCTGTGGTGTGATATTTAATACACTCCCACACCCAGGGCCTCTGCGCGCTGTGCTGGAAGAGTAGCACACTGTACAGATAACTGGGGTGCCATTCAAAGTCACAGAACTGTAAACGTATGGGTGCCACCCTTTCTGGACAGATGGTGACAGTGTCTTAAGGAATGAACACCTTTTTTCTATCTCATCCAGAGTCACCATCTGGGCTAGAGGTGGACTCCCTTAGTTCTGAGACTTTTCATGGGCTGGTTGCTCTGTGTGCAATGCCCATTCTTTTACCCATTTGCCTGAATCCTAGTCCCTTTTCAAAGGACATTTGAGGGGTGCCCGGGTGGCTCAGTGGGTTGAGCAGCTGCCTTTGGCTCAAGTCGGGATCCCAGGGTCCTGGGATCGAGCCCTCCTCGGGCTCCCTGCTCAGTGGGGGTCTGCTTCTCCCTCTCCCTCTGCTTACCTCTTTCTCTCTCTCTCAAATAAATAAAATCTTTAAAAAAAGACATTTGAATAGCACCACCTCTGCGAAACCTCCCCTGAACAAGGCTTGCTTTCCCTCCCCCTGCAGAAATAATTTCATAGAACTTCAGTCTCTACTGATATCCAAATTCCTAACTGATTCCTCACACACAGCCCCCTGTGCTCTTGCTTTCAAAGACCTTCCTTCTCTGACAGATTTGCTGGATTCCTGGTCGGCCTTCCCCACCAGGCTCCATCTTCCTCAACTCTGTCATCCTAGAACCTTGCGCTGTGCTTGACCCACAGTTGCTGAACTCAAGAGTAAATTGGGATAGTTGACCAAAAACCTTTTGAAACTGATCTTCTTTTCTTTATTACCTAAGCCTCAACAAATGCTCGCCATCTTGTTGGCAATCATCATCTTTATGACCATTTTCCTGTATTAAACCTACTTACAGCAACCCTCGGTAAAGAGTACTCTGCGTAAAGGCTTACATAGGCAGCTGGGCACTAAATGATGTGCTTCAAGTCCTTATATAAGGGGCCTTTTTATTATATTAAGTATTAAGGGGCTTGAATTCTAGCCACCGTGTGAGCACAAGGCACTCACTGCACCTCTCTGGACCTTCGTCTAGTCTTCTATCCAATGAGAAGTTTGTAACAGATCAATGGCTCCTAACCCAAATCCCAGGATCTCCTTGGGTCATTAAAGGTAATAAAAAGAAGTCCTAAGCAATTTTCAACATTTCAAAAAGCAAAACAGAAATTTATAACTATCCTTAATTAAGACAACACATTTCATTGTGCATGCAAATGAAAATGCCAAGTTTAGAACTGTATCAGGTTACTGTTGTACTCCTTAGTTTATCTTTGAGAGGCTTCTCCTTAGCATTTAGTTTGGGTTTGAATAATTCAAATGGGAAAGTGAATGACTATAAATACATTTTTTTGGTGGACAAAACTCTTTGCCACTAATGAGTCCAAGGAGGGAGGGAGACATGTAACACAAAGGGGACTTAGTTATGAAAGTGGTGGGAATCACAGGAGTAGATGTTCTGGAACGTCTTGTTCCGTCACCCCAGATCCTTTAGCCATGAGGACCTTGAACCACACAGCCAGCCTCTCAGGTCAGTGGGCACATGGCTCTTGTGATAGCCAACACCTTAGTTCTGGACCCCTGGCCCTGACCTTCCAAAATGCCCATTCCTAGACTGCTGCCATCTTTCTAGGCTTCTAAACTCATGAATCATTTCTGCCCTAGAATTTGCTGCTGCACCTTAACCTCTCTGACTACTCTTGGGACCCTCTCTTCAGGTTCATCATGCCTTGTCACGTTGCCCACTGCCCACTGGACATCATGCTTGGAGGGTGGTGTCCCCGCCTGGTCACCCTTGCCCCTAATCGGCCATAAGACAACTGTATAATTCTCACGAATCCTGACCCAAATAAAGTTGGTGAGGAAGGAAATGTTTGTTAGTAAAAGACTCAGAACCCATTTATTCTTGTTTTATCAAGAGGACATACTTAGCTGGTGGAGGAAAGCTGCTCAAAGGGTGGTGGCTTCTTCATGGTGTTAGTGATGTAAAACTGATGAGATTTATATTCACACAACACGGGGGTATTGATTGATAGGCTTTTGTGAACTAGAATGGTATGCGGTAGGGCAAAGTGCGAGACAAAGACATCCTCCTTCTCCCCCTTTTCCAGAAAGTATTTCTCTCTCTGCATAATGTGGACAATGTTATCCGTGTCTCCTATTAAATCAAAGTTTGACGACAGCAGCTTATTGATTGCCAAGTGGAATATTGCTCTAAAATTAAACTGTGATTAGAAGTCTTCCTGGCGGAATGAGATTTGGAGATGATTGTGCAAGGGTAAAATATCACCTACTATGCAAGACAGCAGATGGAGATGCTTTAATTTATCTGGGAATCCTCATTAAGTGTTTTAGAATCAAAACATTTTCCTAATATTGCCTCGCCAAGTGTAGCTCTGTGCATACCTGAAGTGCCTAAAGATATCTGTAACGTTATCTTTTCCCATAGTTAATTTTATGACATGTTAAAAAGGATTCCTGTGAAAGTGGCTCATTTATTTGGAAACAAAGAATCATTGAGGGGCTATGTCTCTACTTTCTCCAACCTCAACTGTGCAGACATAATACAGATACACCAGAATCCCGATAACCCCTACGGTCGTATTACTGCATTTATCTTGGCAACTCAGAGAATCTTGCAAATACTTGTTCACTGAGGCTCAAAACTGCTCCATGTTTTCAAGTAGATTTTATCAGCACCATCAAAGCCAGAGGAACCTTAAGCATCATATTGTTCAACTGTGTTTATGAAAATACTGAGGGTCAGAGAGTTCTGGAGGGACCAGTCCTAAATGCAGCCCTCACTTTCCCTATAAAGGATGACAAAGCAAGATGACGTAGGATCGGTGCCTCCATGCCTTAGATTCCTGCCTCCCTAGTCCAGCAACAAAGCCATGACCCCTGAGGGGCTGGGATGAGGACGGGGAGAGCTGGCCAGGAGCCAGAGCCGAAGCTGTTCTGGCTTCCGGCAGGTATCGGAGGTCAGAGAGAGGTCATAATCAGAAGGTTTGGGGTAAAGGCCAGTTTGCTATAAGGATCTCAAAAAAAAAGGTCAAGACAGCATGCTCTGGGGGTGAGAGCTTGGGAGCTTGTGGGTCTCTGTGGTGTCTGCTGAGAAGTCAGGCTGGAAAGGTGTGGTGAGGCCCTTCGTCATGGGAAATGAAGATGACCTCATCCCAGGAGTGTTTCTGCGGGGACTTCCTGGGGCAGCATGAGTTGTTCTGGAAGGGGGAAAGAATAACTGGGCCAGAAGGGGAGGGAGAGGGGAGAGGAAGGGCAGAGTCTGGTCATCCTTCTTCCATGCTTCCTTTGGAAAACAGGTTTTTTTGTTTGTTTGTTTGTTTTTAGAAAAACAGATAGATATTAAAGTACTGCCAAAAATCAAAGCAGGTATTTGGTTTTGGAAACAGTCTTCAACAACACCCTATTTGTCTGCCACAGCCTATTCCGTCTCTCCCATTCTGAACCTTCCTCGTTATACTGGGCATGAAAGTTGTTACTGAAGAATTCTGAAGACAGACTGCAGATCAGCCTCCTCAGTCCCATCTGACCTTCCTCCCACCATTGAACTTCAGGTGACCCAGGCTGTGAACAGTCTGAAGAGCCCATCACTGCCCTTCTGGGTTCTGTACTTCCCCCACCTCTGTGCCACTATTCACAATGTTTTCTCTGCCGATTGCCCTCTTCATCCCCTCGCCTGTGCTTTCCTGACTCCCGCGTAACTAAATCATACATATGCTTGAAGGCTAGCTCCAACAGCATGCTCATCCAAGGAAACTTCCCTGACTCCCCATTTCCCTTTGTGATGATTTTCGTCCCAGATCTCACTACACTGCATTTATTCTTCTATCTAGGATGCCTCACATGTCTTCGTCTTGTTTTACATTTATGCCTTCATCCAGTTATTCATACCATGTGTACTTACTGAGTAGCTGGTTGGGTGCCTGGTCTCATGCTCGGCACTACATCCACCCAGATATTATAACATAGGTCCTTCCTCTAGAACCTTGCAATCTCATAAGAACAGGCAGGCAAAGAAACCAACAAGCACAATATATAATAAGAAGAGCTTATATTAAAGGTGTGCAGGGATGGGGAAGGGGCATCAGGGAAGACTTGACAAAGGAGCTGGCCTCGAACTGAATCTCGAAGGTGAAGGGGAAGTCTCCAGAAAATCAGGGGAAAGGTCATTCTAGACAGAAAGAACTAAGACACAAAGGCCTCTAGGGCCTGAGAACAGGACATCTGGAGAACGTATCTCTGCACCTGTTTTCTCTCTCCTTTGGGGATGTTACCTTCTTGAGAGAAAGATCCATGTCTGATTCCCTAAGCTGAGCTAGGAATCCCAGCTCCTAATACTGTTCCTTTTGAACAGTAAGTGCTAAATAAAGTTTGATGAGTGAAAGAAGGAAGGAAGGAAGAACGAAGCTGTCTGCTGGCATGCACTGCACAAGGTAGTTGCTCAATAAATGCTCAGTGAAGGATGGCATCAGGTTAATTCATGACATTTCACAGAGGATTCATTCTGTGAACAGAGGCTTTCTTATCTGATCAACACTAAATCTTTTTCTTTTTTTTCCTTAGTATCTCCATGAGCCATTTACCAATGTTTAAATGAGGTA